ACTTTTTCATGTTCTGCAAATTGTATTTAAAACAAAGCTGCTGCTGTTGATCATTCTGTTTTCATAAACCCCGCCCCCAAGGCCAATACTCTAGGGAAACACTTTTTTGAAGATGTTCTTGATAAAACAATTAACTGTTAGTAACTCACTCTAAAATGTTTGCGTCTGTTTAATCAGATGTCATATATTTTATACCTCTGTATAACCATGTTAATATTTTTGTAGTACAAAGTACAGTACATGTTTTTCTTATTTTATCAAAATTTGAACGTTTTTGTTTCGGGCAGGTAACTTTTCATGTCGGGCAGGTAACATTTGTTGTGTCGGGCAGGTAAAAAAATAAAATCTTGTCGAACCCTGTGGTGAACTGCCATTTTAACGTTAGGGGTTAGTTTTAGCCTAAGGGTCAGGATTGTTGCACGTCCTATGTGTGCATAGAAAAGATCAGTGGCAAAAAACTGTATTTATCAAATATCTGGCAACACTGATCCCTGGTCAGCTGGAGGTTAAGACACAGAGAGTTCAGTCTCAAGGATCCAAACAGTTACATGTAAAGTGGTGAATACACAAAGGTTTGTTTGGACCGAGGATGAGGTGGGCTTGCTCTACTAATTACCATTTTACCTGTCATTCATCTACTCGCTCAGAAAATCTATTGACTGCAGCCGTTTGTAAAGAGCATCTGCGACACCACACCTCTGTGGGTGGCTTTACCAAAACACTCCACTCTGAGACCTGGATTCAGAAACCTTCAGTATCTGAGAAGTAAATATTACTGCCTGCAGCCATGAGAGGGCGCTCCAGGCTTGTGACAAGGACGGTTTATGTTCCGCTACCAAAAAATGAGCAGCAGAAAGAACGTTTGGAGTGAATCAGAAACTTTTTGTGAGGGACTGGTGGAATGCAAGGGTGTTATTCTGCTCTTAGACTTTATGAAATAAGTTTAATGTGGCTATAGTCCAGTGCAGCTATATGCTTTGGCCACCTGATTTAAACGAACAAGTGATTGGCAGGCTTCTGCAGAACTTAAAGGCCCGCTGAAGAACAGGGAAACAACTAAAATATGCAGGGTTGTGGGTCACGAAGACAGAATTGAGAACTACTGCTCTAGAGCGGTGGTTCCCAACCAGGGGTAAGCGAGCATATTACAGTGGGTACATGGAAAAATTTCCCAGGTGTGTAAAATAAATAAATAAATATAGGACTGAGGTCTATAGGACCCTATGATTTCAGCAATGTGGAAAATGCAAACATAATCACAAAATTCACACAAAATGGAATCCTGTTTCAAATGTGGAATCGCACATAATTTGCACATTTGGGGTATTTTGATGTATTTTGGATGCTGCTGCTTCCTGCACCTGCCGTTACCTGGTTTGTTTATTTAATTACTTATTCACTTTCAAGGCAACATTTTTATCTTTATGTTTATTTGAGTTGAAAAGAATAAAATGCCTGAGATTTAAACATTCCAGGGGATTAAATAAATTATTTTCATTTGATTATCAGCTGTTGTACATTACAGTTTTGGAGAATCATCATTATGTTTGACTGAAGGGGTACTAGTGGTATGACAAAATGGCTCAGGGGTACATAAGTCTAAAAAGGTTGGGAACCACTGCTCTAGAGTGACTTATAGTCTGGAAAATAAAGTAATAAAAATTGCTTTTTTTCATATTTAAGAGATCAAAAGTACACAGAGACAGAAGTCACAACTAAATAAGTTGTAATTTGTTTTGGTTTAGTTTTGTCATTATGTCCCTTTTTAAAGAACTGTGAAATGTTTACAGGCTTCAGCCAGCCGTAGTTGGGGTCACAAGTCTCCTTCACTGTTTTGGTCTAAAACTGTTTTTTTTTTAAAGTGGACCTTACCTCCTCACCCCACTGATAGGATAACTCCGCCCCCAAGGCAAATTTGAAAAATGCAGACAATGTGGGTATAGTGCCGGGAGACCCTGAGGGGCA